GATGACGGCTCTGCGCGCACAGCAAAGAAAGGAGACGCAACGGAAGTGGAGGTGAGAGCGAGCCCCCCAGTGCCCAGGTAAGACACAGCAACCGCTTCACGCCTGCGGGCGGCCAGGGTTTCAGGCTAGATTCACGAGGGTGGAACGAGGGTCCTGTCAACATGACGCAAGGGCTCTCTGCTGGTGTCCGCTGGCTAGTGGCTGACAGCCGAGAAGACCAGAAAGATGTTGACCTGTCTCACCGACCGTGCAAAGGCACGTGGCACCTGTCTACAGACCCAGAGGCGCTCCGTTTGGCCAGAGCAAGGGAATAGAGACTGCATGGTTTCCATCAGGCCCGGTGGACGCCGCGCTTCACGCACTCCTCACACCGAGTCGGGCTGATCGCCAGAGGAGCTGCAGTCCACGAAGAAGGCGGCGGCGTCAGGGCCGGAGGAAGGCTGGCTGACAACTCGCGACGAGCAGAGGAGTGAGGAGGATCGAGGGGCCAGCCTGCCGCGTGGCCGAGGACTCCAAGTGGAGGAAGCCCAGTGCTCGGCACCGGACGTCTCGACATCAGCGTCCATGGAGGAGAGGAGGCCCCGTCCAGGGTTCCGTCCTGCTTGGATCACGGCAGCCGCAGTCAGGAGATCCCGGGACGCGTTGCACTGGGCGCACGTGCTGCACGAGACCTCCTCTCCGGTGCTGAAGAGTCCCCTCGCGGCACGGGAAAGGGGGAGACTGAAGAAGGCAGGCTGCCTTCCAGCCACGGCGTCAGTGAGGCCCACTGACCGTACAGGGGACAAAAGCCCACCGAATGCAGCTCAGCACCAAGGGCGGCGAGGCTTGTCTCCTGTGCTTCGGACGCGTTATCAGGAGAGGCCCGTCTGTGGGGAAGCGCACCCTGATCGATGAAGACGGAGGTCAGGGACGAGAGGAAGGCCCCCAGGACATGGGCTCAGGCGATGGCGACCTGGGCCCGCAGGAATGGGGGCTCAGAGGGACACACTGTGGCGTGTCCTCATGTGTATACAAAACAGCAGGCCGTTTGTCCCCGCGCCTTCTCATGTATGATTTGGTGAGCCAACCGCAGGCATGTGCTGTGTGACCACACGGTAGTTACATGATCTGGTATTTGAGGATCAAGAGTGAAGGGGTGGAGTCTAGTCTGTCATTTGGATCATAGCCAATGGGACCTCTGTGTGGGCATGGCTTTCTCCTAGAATTCTGGGAAACCTGGCTTTTCCTCCTTGGAGGTGGGAGACTGCTCATCCCTTGGAGACGCTCTACTGACAAGGCACATGGCACCGCGCTGATAGACTTCATGCCCTGGGGGCTGGAGAAGCCACGTGGACCTACCCTGATGCAATCAGACCTCAGAAGCCACGTAGAGACGCCTGCCACACTGAGATGCTTACAACGCCACTGGACCCAAAGACTTTCTATCCACCGGCCTGTGATTGTCCTGCAGTCGGCGGCGTCATTGCATGTGTTTCGTGAGTCTGAAGAGGACTTTATAGACTGGTATCGGACTTATGAGATTGAACTGGGTTGGGATGTTTTCTTAATCTACAATCACTATTTATGTAAAACGCTTATATACATGAGTTTCTATGGATTTGTTTCTCTAGTCTACCCGGACTGGCACAGACTGCCACCGCTGCCCGCTCCGATTCCCCACCAGCGCCCTGCTGCCCCCAAAGCCCCCAAGGACGGACAGATGGACGGCTCCACCTACTTCCTGTTCAGCTCCACTTCTTCCTTTTCCCACTTTTCAAACTGCCCCGTCACGTCCACGGGGGCTCGCAGGATGTCCTTCACATTTAAGAAAAACTCCTAAAGGAGAGAAGGCTGCTCAGGGCCAAGGGGCACCACTCCTGGCCACAGGCGCCTGCTGCTGGGCGTCGGGAAGGCCACGGGCCCTGGCTCACGTGCACCCTGCTCCCGACAGTGTCACCCATCCCGTGTCCTCCCGGTCTCTGCCTGCGTGACGCTCTCATGGAAGAATGAATAGTGCCCATCCCGCGTCCTCCCGGTCTCTGCCTGCGTGACGCTCTCATGGAAGAATGAATAGTGCCCATCCCGCGTCCTCCCGGTCTGCCTGCGTGACGCTCTCATGGA